CTGGGCCGCGCATATGCCGCCGGCCATGATTTGCGCCCCCCCTCCCCCTCTTAGACGCCCTCGAGTTGGGAAGGTGGGTGGGAGTGAGCGAGAGAGCTTGCGGGCGGGGAGTGCGTCTTGATCCCTCCCCCACACGCCCTCCACTGGACCTGGACGGGGCGCCCCGCGACGCATTGGGGAGCGTGCAAGAATCGGCGGTGAGCGAGGGGGGAGGTGAGAAGGAGGAGGCTCCCTCAGAAGGCGGCGAAACTTCTCTGAAGGCCGCCGGCCTTTGAGAGGTTTCCTGTGTCTTCGGGGGGGGGCTTACAACGCTTCTGAGAAGGCCGGGGGGGCCTCCAAGCCTTCCGAGAACGCCCGCCCCTTCTCAGTCCCCCCTGGGCTCGCCGCCGCCCCGAGGGTTCCCGGCCTCGCGCGCAATTCTGCGATTTCTGCTGTTTGCAATCTCGGACGCGTTTTTCCCAACCAACCTGTGTTGTTGGGTCCTCGTTTTGAAGAAACGGTCCCCGCGTTCCTTCTCCTCCTCCTCCTCCTCTGCCCCCTCCTCCCTCCTCCTTCCTCTGTTTCCTCCTTTCGTTTCACCCACCCAGTACAGCGCTTCGTGGCCCCCTAGGGAGCTCCACCGAAGAGGTTCCAGGTCTACCGTCCGCATGCGTCCCCCCCATCCAGTACAGCGTTTCGTGGCCCTCCTCCCCCTCCTCCCTGCGTTCCACCCACCCAGTACAGCGTTTCGTGGCCCCATAGGGAGCTCCACCGAAGGTTCCACGTCTACCGCCTGCATGCGTCCCCCCCGCCCAGTACAGCGTTTCGTGGCCCTCCTCCCCCTCCCTGCGTTCCACCCACCCAGTACACCGTTTCGTGGCCCCATAGGGAGCTCCACCGAAGGTTCCAGGTCTACCGTCCGCATGCGTCCCCCCGCCCAGTACAGCGTTTCGTGGCCTTCCTCCCCCTCCTCCTTGCGTTTCACCCACCCAGTACAGCGCGTCGTGGCCCCATAGGGAACTCCACCGAAGGTTCCAGGTCTACCGTCCGCATGCGTCCCCCCCCAGTACAGCGTTTCGTGGCCCTCCTCCCCCTCCTCCCTGCGTTCCACCCACCCAGTACAGCGTTTCGTGGCCCCATAGGGAGCTCCACCGAAGTTTCCAGGTCTACCGTCCGCATGCGTCCCCCCCACCCAGTACAGCGTTTCGTGGCCCTCCTCCCCCTCCTTCCTGCGTTTCACCCACCCAGTACACCGTTTCGTGGCCCCATAGGGAGCTCCACCGAAGGTCCCACTGGCACCGCCCGCATGCGCCGGCCACCGCCCAGCACAGCACTTGCTCCCTGCGTTTCACCAGTACAGCGCGTCGTGGCCCCATAGGGAGCTCCACCGAAGGTCCCACTGGCACCGCCCGCATGCGTCAGCCACCACCCAGCACAGCCCTTGCTCCCTGCGTTTCACCCTCCCAGTACAGCGTTTCGTGGCCCCATAAGGGGGCGCCAGCGAAGGTCCCCGTGGCATCGCCCGCATGCGTCCTTGCTCCCTGCGTTTCGTGCAGCGTTCCGTGGCCCCATAGGGAGCTCCACCGAAGGTCTCAGTGGCACCGTCCGAATGCGTCAGCCACCACCCAGCACAGCCCTTGCTCCCTGCGTTTCACCCACCCAGTACAGCGTTTCGTGGCCCCATAGGGAGCTCCACCGAAGGTCCCAGCGGCAGCGTCCACATGCGTCAGCCACCACCCAGCACAGCCCTTGCTCCCTGCGTTTCACCCACCCAGTACAGCGCTTCGTGGCCCCATAGGGAGCGCCACCGAAGAAGATATTCATAATTGCGTTACTCACAACTGCATATGGTTGGGTCCTTCGCCAGGCTAGTTTTTCCTAGTGGCGCGGCCTTCCGGGGATGTTCGGCGGGCTGGGCTGCATTTCTTTCGCCCAGGCCTCCAACGCATTGGACAATGCAGCGCGGAGGTTTTTCATCAAGTTCGGCCTCTTGGGGGCGTTCGCCGGGCCCTGGGACATCCAGCAAACGACTCAGGGTCAAGAGCTGGTCTTGGGGTCTTGGGCCGCGAGGCGAAGGACCGACAAAAAGAAAGCCCCAGACACGCCCGCGTCTTGGCAAACGTCAAGACGGGCGGTGTCTGGCCGTTCTCGGGCTCCGGAGGGCCCCCCCCCCCCGGCCCAGGGCGCCGTCAACAGAACGGCTCAGGATGAAGAGCTGGTCCCGGGGAACAGGTCGACACCACCGGGGACCCCGCATTAAAAAAAACACAGCATCGGATCCTCAGGGATGGAAGAGGAAATGCGAGATCGTTTTTTACCACCCATCATGTGGTGTTGGGTCTTCGTTTTGAGGAGACGGTCTCCGCGTTCTCCTCGTTCCTTCCTTCTTCTTCCTCCTTCTCCTCCTCCTCCTCCTCCTTCTCCTCCTCCCCCTCCTCCTCCTCCCCCCTCCTCCCGTCGCCCCCCTCACTTTGGCACCCCCCTCACGCGTTTCGTGGCCCCATAGGTAGCTCCACCGAAGGCCCCAGTGCTATCGCCCGCATGCGTCCCCCGCACGCATTTGGACCCCAATCTCACACGTTCCGTGGCCCCATAGGGAGCTTCATCGAAGGCCCCAGTGCCACCGTCCATTTGCGTCCCCCATCGACACCCTCCTCACACGTTTCGTGGCCCCATAGAGAGCTCCACCGAATGCTCCAGTGCCACCGCCCGCATGCGTCCCCCACACGCATGTCGCCATCCCCCTCACACTCTTCGTGGCCCCATCGGGGGGCTCCACCGAAGGCCCCAGTGCCACCGTCCACTTGTGTCCCCCGCACGCATTTCGGCACACCCCTCACACGTTTCGTGGCCCCACAGGGAGCTCCACCAAAGGCCCCAGTGCCACCGCCCGCATGCGTCACCCGCGCCCATTTCGACACCCACCTCACACGTTTCGTGGCCCCATAAGGAGCTTCATCGAAGGCCCCAGTGCCACCGTCCATTTGCGTCCCCCATCGACACCCTCCTCACACGTTTCGTGGCCCCATAGAGAGCTCCACCGAATGCTCCAGTGCCACCGCCCGCATGCGTCCCCCACACGCATGTCGCCATCCCCCTCACACTCTTCGTGGCCCCATCGGGGGGCTCCACCGAAGGCCCCAGTGCCACCGTCCACTTGTGTCCCCCGCACGCATTTCGGCACACCCCTCACACGTTTCGTGGCCCCACAGGGAGCTCCACCAAAGGCCCCAGTGCCACCGCCCGCATGCGTCACCCGCGCCCATTTCGACACCCACCTCACACGTTTCGTGGCCCCATAAGGAGCTTCACCGAAGGCCCCAGTGCCACCGTCCACTTGCATCCCCCACACGCATTTCGGCACACCCCTCGCACGTCTCGTGGCCCCATAGGGAGCTCCACCGAAGGCCCCAGTGCCACCGTCCGCATGTGTCCCCCGCACCCATTTCGGCACACCCCTCACACGTTCCGTGGCCCCATACGGAGCTCTACCGAAGGCCCCAGTGCCACTGTCCGCATGCGTCCCCCACACCCGTTTCGGCACACCCCTGACATGTTTCGTGGCCCCATACGGAGCTCCACCGAAGGCCCCAGTGCCACTGTCCGCATGCGTCCCCCACACCCGTTTCGGCACACCCCTCACACGTTTCGTGGCCCCATAGGGAGGCTCCACCGAAGGCCCCAGTGCTACCGTCTGCCGCACCCATTTCGGCACATCACTCACAGGGACTATGGCTCCATAGGGTGCGCCACCGAAAAAGATTTTCACAATTCCGGTACGCAAAGCTGAATATGGTTGGGTCCTTCGCCAGGCTAATTTTTCACCCCCTGGCGATGAATGGCGTGACTAGGAAGGGGGGGGAAAGGGGTTTGGGGCGGGGCTGGTCATAGGCGCTAGGTATCGTGAATCATGTAACAGTGCGTTCACAAGGATTCTCAAAGCTCCACGCGGATCTCTTTGGTCGGCGCCCTGAGCTCCCTTGCGGCGCCTCCGGCGCCGCCCCTGACGCGCTCCACGCGCCAGGGAGGGGGGACCAGCGCAGATCCGAGAAATCTGCGCGGCCCTCCGAAAGCTTAGGCTTCCACCGTTTTGTCTTCCTCGAGAAGTAGGTCGCGGGCGAAACACATATCTCTATCCGCAGCCTCGCGGGCCAGGTCCCTGCGCCGCGACCCCGCGGATAAGGGGCGTTTATTTGCGAATGCCCCGCGCGGAACGTATCCGTGCGATCGTGTGTCCGCGGGATCTCGCCCTGGAATCCAGACCGCGAGGGCGCGGATACGGATATGTCCGACGCTCGGGAGGAGGATCTCGCCCCTCTGGTCCGCGAGATCGTGAGCGGGAGTGCCGAGTGGGCCATCCGCACCACCCCCGCGAAGGGCGAGAGCAAAAGCGCCGTCCGCTGGTGGTCGCGGCCAGGCCTGCCGCTGCTCTGCCCGGTCTCCGAGTTCCCCATCCCGAGGAGGAAAGAATTGCACCAAGCACGAGCTTGCGGACCCAGACTCCTCCCGCCTCCCTCCTCCCTCCTCGCTCCTCCCTCCTCCTTCTCCCTCCTCCTACCTCCTTCGTCCTCCCTCCTCCCTTCTCCCCTCATCGCCCGCGGGGTCCCTTGCCGCAAGCGCTCGGATGGCTCGGGCTCCAAGCTGGCTCATGTCCCCCGCCACGCCTGGCCGTGCAAAGCACGGCGGGAGCTCTTTGGCCGCTTCGGGCCTCCAGGGCCCCCTCGCCGGGCCGCTGGACCGTCCGAAGAGGACCCGGAGCGAGCGAGCGGTCCTGGGGAACCATGGCGCCGGGGGTCTGGGAGCATTGGCCTCCGGAGGTCCGCTCGGCTCTCTCGGCGCGGCGCCGGGACCCCCTCCCTGGCGCGCGGAGGGCGCGCGGAGGGCCGCGCGGGAGGCGCCGCCAGGGGGGCCTCCGGGCGCCGATCCGAGAGGCCCGCGGCAGGACCTAGGAGGGTCTGCGCTTGTGCCGTGCTTTCTTTTGCCCCTCTGCCGTCTGCCTGCTCCCGTACCCGCCCTTCAAGCTGCGCGTCGACCCGGACCGCGCCCACCCGTTCCGCCTCGTGGACGGGAAGTTCCTGGCGATGGAGGTCATTGTCAGCGGCCGCCTCGAGGCGTGCGGGCGCGCGCTCGCGGCGTCCGACGTCGCGGCGCTCGACGAGTACATCCACCGCTGCAAGCTGGGCCCCTTCCGCGTGAGCCGCCTCGTGCAGCTCTCCGCCGCCGCCGCCGCGGCCGGCGCGGCCGCCCCCCAGACCCGGGCGCTGGAGAGCTTCCAGGACTCGGCCAGGGGCGAGCTGGAGAAGCTCCGCCGCATCCAGGAGATCGGCATCCGAACCCCCAACAGTGACACGTCGATTAGTGCATTGTCCGTTTTCGGCTCTCGAGAGGGCGCCGTGGCCGTTACTTTCCAGGCTTGCGCCCGCCAGGTTTGGGCCTCAGGTCGTTTTCGCTAGACCACGTTTTGCTAAAGGGGGGTCTGTCCATCCCCGATCCGTGGCCCAGCCCCCGCCCCCCGTCGGGTGCGGCGGACTCGTGCCGTGCCAGCGGGGCGGCGGCACCGCCGCGGGCGTGCGGGGCTTGCACGCCGCGGATCAGCCAGAGTCGGACGGCATGGATCGGGGGCCACATGCGAACCCTACCCCTACCCCCCACGATTGCTGAGGGGGAGGGTGTGGTTCACCCCGCTCGGAAGCTCCCGAGCGAAGGGAACCCCACCCTCCCCCTCAGAAATCGTGGGGGGTAGGGGTAGGGTTCGCATGTGGCCCCCCTAATGGAACGATCTGGCGATCGGACAGCCGCCGATCGTTCAAGGTTGAACGATCCGCGCGGTGTCATACACCAGCGCCGGAGTCGTCGCGACACGAACCTGCCGTAGACGTTCTCCCCGTGGTGGGGCTGGATGCCGCTCCCGCCGGGTCTCGTGGCACTCCTCGCCGCCTACGTGAGGCGGCAGGCTGGGGTGGGCGGAAGATGTTCATTCGCCGGCATGTTCGCAGGGAGTTCTCCTTCGTCAGGCAGTTCCGTCAGAACTTGGAGATGTTCTTCCTCTGGCGCATCCTCTGGCATGTTTTTTTTTTTTTTTTTTTTTTTTTTTTTCTTTCTTTGTTTTGTTTTGTTTTGTTTTTGGGAGATTTTGTTTTTGTTGTTGGGCGCTTTTTTTTCATCCTCTGGCGCAGATGGGTCGCTACCCGTGCCCCCCCCTCCTTCAGCCCCCCCGTGTTAAAAACGGTAACGACTGTACGTACGTAGTGGGGGGGGCCTGGAGCCCCTCTAACATGCTGGTGCTCGCGCGCGTACTATGGCGACCGCAACGCACCCCACCCCGATGTGCCCCTCCCCGCCCAGGCGTTAATTACCGAGGGCCCCACCCCCTCCCCACCTCCTGGGATGACGACCATTACCAGAAATAAGTAGAAACAATATCCATGCGCTCGTGAAATGGCTTTCTGCGCGCCCTTTCGTGAGGGGGTCGGTTGGTTCCTTCCGGGCCCGACCAACTTTGTAAAACAGTGTATTTGTGCATGGGTTGATTCCCCCGATGGTGGCGTGAAGTAGACCTGGCCCACCGGGGATGCGTCCAAGCGATTCAGAAATACTTCAGGGGGGGTTCACAGCGCCCCACTGGGACATGGACGATTACAAACGTATTACAGATACGTCGTCGTCGTCGTCGTCGTCGTCGTCGTCGTCGTCGTCGTCGTCGTCAGGGGCGTCGGCGTCGTCGTCGGCGTCGGCGTCGCCGTCGCCGTTGCAGCCGCCAGGCCGGAGTCAGCGAACCAGACGAGAAGCAACATTTTTGCTAATCGGCCCTGCCCGATGTGTTTTCAATCGTTTGGCCGTATCAGCGATGCTGAGGAGAACCGCCTGGCGCAGGTCAAGAAGCTCTACCAGGCGCGCTGCCCAGAGACCCGCGCTTCGACGCCCCAGTGGGTCACGAAGAACGCCTCCCTGCGGGGCCGGCCCAGCGATGCCTCCACGGCGTCGACGCGAGCGAGCTCCGGGTCAATCGACCCGCCCACTGCCTGAGTCTTGGCGCCGGCGGGGGGGCCGAGGTAGCCCAGCACCTGTCGGCGGCGCGCGCAGAGGGGCAGGGGGAGGGGGGAAAGCTTCTATCAGGAGGGGATAAAACACACAGACACAATTAATCGTCGATTCTCAGAAAATATGGGAAAATATGGGAAGTGGGGGAGAAGACAAAAACCCAGAAAATATGGGAAAATATGGGGAGTATTTTTATTTGTGTGTATTTATTTGTGTGTCCTGGGGCCCCTTCATTCTAGGAGCACCCCTGCATCTCAAAAGGCGCGGGCACTGTCTGTCGATGGAGGTCTGCGCCTCTAAGAAGCAGCCTTCTTCTGAGAAGCCTTCCCCGCTCCCCCTGCCCCCTCGTGCGCGCCGCCGAGGTCCACTGCCGAAGTGTTGGAGCTGGCTGGGGGGCTGCGGTAGCCCAGCACTGGTTCTGGCCAGCAGAACGAGGGAAAGGGGCCCCCCTCGTGGCCACGGCTGGACGCGACTCGAGAAGCTCGTCAGTTTCGACCCTGGGAGGTGTCCAGGGACCGATTTTGAACGGATTTGCCCTCATCCCTCTCTTTTATCGGCGGCGAACCCAGGGGGGAAGTGAGAAGGGGCGGGCCTTCTCAGACGGCTCGGACATCCCCCAGCCTTCTGAGAAGTTTTCTAAGTCGTCTCCGAAGACAAAGAAATCATCTTCGAAGGCGCGAGAGCTTCTGAGAAGCCCCGCCGACTTCTGAGAAGGCCTTCTCCTTCTCACTTCCCCCCTCTCTCGCCGCCGATCTTAGCAGATTTTCTATTGCCTTCTCCAGCTCAGATCCCCCAGCCGCCTCCAGCTCGAATCCTTACCGACGCGGTGGGTTACAGGCAGGAACTTTTGCTTATCGTTTCGCGCCGACGGTTCTGGCCCACCACGTTCAATCTCGACGCGCTAACCACGTCCTGGTCTCCAAGCATCATCATCATCAGCATCATCAGCATCAGCATCATCAGCATCATCATCGTCATCATCGTCATCATCATCACCATCATCATCATCAGCAGCAGCATCATCATCACCACCACCACCATTATCATCATCATCAGCACCACCACCACCTTCATCATCATCATCATCATCATCATCATCATCATCATCATCATCATCATCATCATCATCATCATCATCATCATCATCATCATCATCCATCATCATCATCATCCACCATCATCATCATCACCATCACCATCATCATTATCATCATCATCACCATCATCAACATCATCATCATCACCATCATCATCATCATCATCATCATCATCATCATCATCATCATCACCACCATCATCATCGTCATCATCGTCATCGTCAGGAGCTTTTCCTGGCCTCCCGCCCCGCGGAGCGCAGCGACGCGCCACCAGCTGGCAGGGCGAGGCCCGCCGCCAGAGCCGCCGCCGCGACACGCCGAGCAGAAGACCCCGACGGCACGCATGGCCTACACCTTAGGCGATGCTTAAGAAAACCTAAGTTTTCGTCCAGAGTCTCGATTATTCTTAACTTTTCAATATAAATCCCAAGATTTTGATAGAAGTTCTGGGTTTTATTCCATTTCTGAGACTATGAATTTCTTAACCCATGATTTCTTAAGCATTTCGCAGGGTGTACTCTGGAGGTCTGCTTTTCAAGTTTGACGGTCACTGCCACAGGGCTGAGCAATCCATCGAAAGGTCCAGCTGTGGTGTGTCTCTTCCGAGCGACCGGCGCGACCGCAGCGCAGGTCGGAAGCGCGTCAGACTCTCTTTGTCTCTCTACCCGTTCCAGTCCAGGGAATCGGCACCCGCGGCATCCACAAGCGAGTGCTTCGTTCAGAGGCAACGTCAGCGGGGGACAGGCTCAGAGGGGGGACGAATCGACCCCGAATCACCCATTGATCGCCGACGGGGCCCGAGCCCACCCCGCTCTGGGCTGTGCGGATCCGCTATCGGGGGCCTATCGCCGATGCAAAATATCTAAAACATAAAAATAAAATAACAGCAAACAAATACATACACACACATATATATATATATATATATATATATATATGAAATCGCCGATTCAAGCTCGATGGGTCCCACCCCTGATCTGGTCCCTCCTAGCGTTGCCCCTCAGCTTTGGGAGAGAAAGCGAAGCTCACTGAGGGCGATCTGTCCAGTGCGGGCACTGGCATTGACGTGTACCCGCGTGTCGTACGCGCTCCCGTGCGGCTCGCGCACCCTTTGTCCACAGCCGACGAGGCGATGCGCTGCTCGCATCGAGTCCACAATAATTCGTTTCCCGCATCGGGGCTCGCGCTTGCGCAAATTTCGCAGGCCTAGAGGTTGACACCAACACCAAAATCGGCGGTGTGCTTCCACCGAGGGAAGAGGGAGGGTCCCGATCTCGGCGATGGTGGTAACACTCGGGCTCCAAGGGTGGCCGAAATATTACCACCAACACCGAAATCTAGGACCATCGTCCCCCTGTGGAGGCAACCTTCTGGGCTGGTGTTGGTGCCAATTTCCCGGCCTCCCAACATTATCTTGCACGGTACAGGATTGCTGACCAGCGGAACCATACAGGGTGCGGTCGGCTTGTTGTTGTGCCAGGTGTGCTCTGTGACAAATGCCGGTGGGCTTTGGCGCATATACTTTTGTCAGCCTCTCCCCCTCCTCCACCCTCAGGTGTTGCCGAGAGTGGACCTGCACAGAGGCGGCCTCAGCTTCTCCAGGGAGGCCCTGGTGGCCTGCAGGGCACCCCTCACCAGGCCCGGAGGGCCCCGGGAGGTCCAGGCTGGCGCGAAAAGCTGGAGACGCCATTTGGGCGAGGGACACCTCTTCTGACCCCCGCCTTCTGCCTTACGAACCCTACTAGCCCTCGCACGAGCTATCTGGCACCACACCGGATAGTGGGGGGACGGCCAGCGTGCGTGCGCAGTCATGCTGGAGCAGTCTAGCGACCCTCCTGGGTCGGACCATGCATCGAGGGAAGAAACACGATGACCATGACCAAGATGTCGAGGTATTCTGTCGGCGTCGATCTTGGTCATGGTCCATGCCGACCGTCGCCGATTCGTGAGGATGATCCACGAGCTGACGGTGATCAGGGTGGACGGTGACCGAGCTCGGCGCCGATGCTTCTGCGGTCAGTCCTGGTCACGGTGCTCGTCTTTCTTCCCCCCCGTGCACGGAGCAGCTCAGCGGTGCGCCCAGGTCGACGTCTTTGTGCTCCAGTTTTTTTTTGTTCTCTCGAATTCGGATGTGCCATCCCCCAGCGGCAGCTGCTTTTTGGGCCGACCTCGGCTGGCGGCCCGCAGCCGCCGAGAGGCCCTCGGGGGCCTAATGTCCCGAGCGTGGGCGCCACCTCTGCTTCCTCCTCCTCCCTCCCCTCCTCCTCCCTCCCCTCCTCCCTCCCTCCCCTCTTGCTGCTCCTCCTCCACTTCTTTTCCTGTTAGATTCGGGGGTGGACAGAACCCCCAACAGTGACACGTCGATTAGCGAATTGTCCGTTTTCGGTTCTCGAGAGGGCGCCGTGGCCGTTATTTTCCAGGCCTGCGCCCGCCAGGTTTGGGCCTCAGGTCGTTTTCACTAAACCACGTTTTACTAAAGGGAGGTCCGTCCATCCCCGATAGATAACTCGCACCCCGAGGCCGGTCGAAAGGGTGGGCCGGGCGTTTCGCCTGAGACTTCCTCACCGTTTGTGAGCCTGACGCTAAATCATTGGCAACAGTTTTACAGATGGCTCTCGCGTTAGCGCCGCGAGCATTCGTTTTAAATCTGATCAACAATTTCACGGATTGAGGGCGGGTCGTTTTCAAATTGTGGCTCTCGCATAGCGCCGCATACCTTCGTTTTAAAGATAATCAAGGATTTCACGGATTGATGGCGGGTCGTTTTCAAAATGTGGTTTTCGCATGAGCGCCGCGCACATTCATTTAAACAAGCTGCAAGGGCTTCACGGATTGAGGGCGGGCCATTTTCAAAACGTGGCTCTCGCCTTAGCGCCGCGCACATTCGCTTTGAAGCTGCAAGAGCTTCACGAATGGAGGGCGGTTCGTTTTTAAACATGTGGTTATCGCTTTAGCGCCGCGCGCATTCGTTTTTAAAGTTCGCGAGAGTTTCGCGGGTTCTCATGGTTGACGTACCAGAAATTGTATTCTGGAACGATTCAGGATTGTCAGGGCGCAGCAGTTACGTTGATTTGCGGTGTTGAAGTCCGAGGAATGGTGTTCTGGTGCGATTCAGGATCGCCAAGATGCAGCAGTCATATTAACTCGTGGCGTTCAAGTCCTGATAATCACGTTTTGGCACGCTTCAGGATTTTCACACGCTTGTCCCCCAACGGAGCAATTGCCTCAGTGGACTTGAACCCTCGTAGGGGCCTGTGAAGAGGGAGATTGGAGGGAGGGTGTATTCCAACATCGTTGATGAGTCTTGGGTTTACGCTGGTCCTCCTACTCTTCCTCCTCGTCCCCTCCGCGCCTCCTCCTTCTCCTCATCCTCCTCATCAACACCATCCTCTCTCCGTTCCTCTTTTCTCCTCTTCCCTCCTCCTCCTCCTGCCTTCTCCTTCTTCTCTCCTCCTTCCTCTTCTCTCCTCTCTCCTCTCCTCCTGATTCTCTCCTCCTCCTCCTCCTCTTCCCCGTCCTCCCTCTTCTCTCCTCCGTCCTCCTCTCTCCTCCACCCTCTTCTCTCCCCCTCTTGCCTCGACCAAACCTGGCGCAAACACGATCCTGTCTGCGCGCCACCTGCCACTGCCGCCACCGCGTGAGTGGTCCAGGCCTCCTCCTCTTCCTCGGGGCGGACGGAGCGAGTGATTGGGGAAGGGGGGGTACGAAACTAGCTTCAGGAAGCCGGTTTCGGCTCCGCCGCCGGGCGCGCTTCCTCGGTACAGGGGGGGCGCCTCCCAGCGCCGGTGGGCGACGGGCAAACTTGCTGCGTGAGCCGACTCGCGACTCCCCCCCCTCTGC